GTGTGTAGTGACAACAATCTGTCAAATGTAACTGCAGTCAAAGTGTCGTCATAGTAAAGACTCTGCTGCTGTTCCATCTGAACATCAGGTTACTAACACTGGAACAGAGGGATCTACATTTGGAATCACTGGAGGAGAAAGAAAAGAAAAAGAAAATGAACCAACACCAGGAATATTTGACTGAGAATTGGTGATAAAAAAAATCAATACACTGATGGAGGAGATTGATACGGTATCAGGAAAGGAAATATCCTAATATTTCAGTCTATTGATATTTTCTTACGCCCTCTGTGTAAACATTGAAGACGTTGTTAACAGACCTGGTCCTTGTTTGTCTGGTGGACTAAATAAAAAGGTCTAACTAACAATGAAAATGCCACGTGGTTGGACTCAACCACAGGAAGTGACTCAACACCAACACTGTTTGATTAATGAACACAGAGGAACACGGATCCTTTAAACAACTGTTAGAAGTTCTCCAGGTTTATTACCGTCAAAAACAAAAGGACATTTCAATTATTGGACCAGACCATGTGGGATATACAACAAACCCACAGTGGTCCAGATGTAACGCTTAATCTGGATCAGATTTTGATGATTCAGCATAAATTGACAACTGACAGCGTGAACGCCCACTGGTCGGGGGAGGGTCATCAGGATGTGGGAGAACCCTGTGTTAGTCCCTGTGTTCACTGGTGTTTGGAGTTGGTTAACCGCTCCGACCCAACGGCCAAACCACACATTTACTCTGGCGGTCGGTGCTGAAGACCCCCATGGGAATAACACCGCCCGCTGGCTTTGTGTTCCGCAGCCTGAGGGAAGAAGACTGTGGAACAGTACTGACGGCCACGGTGAATTAAGAAGATGGATTCCATCCCATTACACAACTGAGATACAAAAGCAGAGCAGGAACTCATGGAGGAACTTGATTGTTGTTCCTGTGAGGAGCTGAGAGGCGTCTGTCAAAAACAGTTGAACATTAGAAAATGTAAACAACAGAACATTTGAACAATAAAACATTAGAACATTCCTCAGTAGACTCGTAAACCTCTTCTCCTCGTGCCCTGTATTTACATGGAGCAGAGTCACTGAGTGTGAAGAGAAGGAGAGAAGGAGAGAAGGAGAGAAGGAGGGTAGGAGGGTAGGATGAAGGATGCGTGACATTTCCTCCAAATTACCTACTGTACTGTTGTATTTTCACTGCTCATTACTTCAGTCCAGAAACCTGACTCAAATGAAGAGTTCCAGGGCAACAGTGTGGTTACCTGGAGCAGAGCTACCCCCGCTGGTTTATTTACCCCAGCTCCCGTGGTGACTCCAGCCTCACTGCTGAAGGTCAGCCCACACTGGGGGAGTAGTTATTAACAAACCTGCTGTGTCTCTTTGTTTTTCACATCATATACATTTATCCACATTTTCTTGTTTTCCTGTCAGATCTGGCAACCCTGATTGTCAGTTCATCGTTGTCACGTTGTGAGGATGTTGACTTGTTTGTTGACTCGTTGTCAGTTGTCCAGGTGTTTGTAGCCTAAGAACCTGCAACTGTTCTGGTTGGTTTTTTAAGAACTGATGAAGCTCAGAGGTGAAAGGTCATGAAGAAGAGCAGCCCGTCCACTCGTCCTGTTTCTTCTTGTCTCTTCTTGTATTTATGACATCTTCGCTCGGCACCAGATTTGCTTGTTTCCTGACATTTTTCTCACCTGGTCACATTTTCCTCCCCCTCTGAACAATCTCCCTCCAGGTGGAACACATCAGACCTCCCCTCAGAGGCCATGTTATCACACACTACACCACTGACATACATCCAGACCGACCTACAGACAGGCAGTACTGCAGATCTGAGAGCGCTCCAGTCCGGCTAACACCCATTAACCTCATGCTGTAACAGGTGGCTGTCTGTTAGCATGTTGCTGCAAACTGTCAGTCAGTCAGAGCTTTAAACCCATGAACCTCTGACAGAACCTGCAGGGTCTGGTTCAGACATGTTGCACTGACAGCTGGTTGCTCTTCAAACTGTTCTGGAATGAAGCTAAACTTTATACTTTTTCACAAAAGAGAACTGAGGTTCAATTCAGACGTAGTTCTGTATGTTAGCAGAACATTCGCTGCCTGACAAAGAAAACAAAAAACAAAAAAACAACCAACTGAAGAACTAGATGCAGATCTAACTATGTTCATTTTCAAATGTGCTCATTTTGTAGCTAACCTTTAGCTACATCTGAGAGTCACTTTCTGCTTGTATTTCTGTTGTTTTTGTTGTTGGGCCATTTACAGCTAAGCTGATGCTGGTGTGGACAGCTGTAGTTGGATGTGACAGCGCCCCCTAATGTTGAATCTTCTCTCATTGAGCTTGTTGTACCTTAGAGGACCCTGATTCATAAAGTGAAACAAAAATAATGATGGCCAGTTTGTTGTAGTTCTATAAACGTCCTCTTGTCTCATCAGACTAGCTAAAGAGAGGCTAAAGAAAAATCTCCTCCATGTCTAGAGCTGTTCCTTCATCAACCTGGGTCTCCACATATCTGTCAGGGCAGGGCGTTAGCATCGGCCTCATTAGCATTCACAGGCAGCCTGATGTCTGAGGCTAATTTCTGCTGTGCTTGTTTGTTTGTCAGCTCGTTAGCTCTGTGAATTCTGGAGAGGTTTGGAATCATGCTTCCATTCATCAGGTCTTGATTTCTGACATCGGATCAGAGCAGTTGCTCCTCCTGACTGTGGACCTGAGCTGGGCTGCAGCGTTGCAGTCGACCCATCGGTCCGACCGTCAACAGTAGGAACACAGTGATAGGTTTCTGTGGTCCGTGTTGCACTGAAGCGTGACAGGAAGTGATGAAAGATGAATGTGGGTCCACTGTGATGAAATTCTGCGTTAACTTCCTCCGACCAACAACTGTGGTTTGATTTCACAGATTATTTAGCTGCTGTTTCTGAAGTCAGGCTGCTGTGAACAGAGGAGTTCATATGAACACATTTACATATTTATGGAAATCATCGACTCCACAGACTCGTGTGTGACATTAATTTCAGTGCAGATTAATTAGGTCAAAACCTAATTAATTTAGGCAGCCAAGGCAACCAACAATGTAGTCCCCACCCCCTCAGCCCCATGTTCAAGTCACCTAAGACTTTTTTTGGTTGATTACAGCACTAATTAAATGACAAAGATAAAGACCAGTGTCTGAGGAGGAGGGGGAGAAAAGGAGGAGGAGGAGGAAGACGAGGAGCTGATGTCAGAGAGATAGAGTCAGAGTGATAGAATGTGTGGCCTCTCTGTATGTGTATGTGTGTGTGCTGTGCAGATGTTTCTGGAAAAGTCTTGTCAGAGTCTGGTCCAGCAGAGGAGGATGTGGACCCAGCAGACGTCGGTTCCTCTGCAGCTGCAGATGTTTCCATAGTGATGAAACAGAATCCTCTCCTTCAGAGCCTCCTCTGGGTGGAGCTCCTCCACCATTCCGGATCATTCTAGTCTCCAACTCCACCGACTCCTCTGTCCCAGAGGATGTGTTTAACCGCAGCATCGTCCTCATCCTCACCTTACTCAGAGTCTCCTGCTCTGCTCACAGAGACATCTGTGTGTGTTTAGTTTTCACTGCTCAGACTAGTGTCAGTGTGTTAGTGTGTGTTAGTGTGTGTGTCTGTGTCTTGTGGCCATGTGAGGAGATGAAGTGTCAACGTGTGCTGAGTTCTGGTTGAATTTATGACCTTGTTTTGGCCCCAGAAAACAAGCTGCTCCTGGGACGTCTCTGCATCACTGGAGACATGTTTGACAAACAAAGTTCACACGCACGCACACACACACTGAGCTGAGGCTGAAACTCTTCACGGCGGTCCAGACCTGGTGCTAACATCTGGACTGTATGGTCAGATTTGAAGTGGACCAGGATGGTCCTGGTCTGGATGTGGACCAAGTTCGTCTTTAGGTTTGGTCATAGAGAAGACATGTTTGTGTCATAACGTCAGTTTCCAGGTCACTGACGGCCTGACCTCAGGCTGCTGGACCTGTGTAACCAGGGCAGAGGAGTGGTTTTCATGACATCAGGGAGGTGGCGCAACCTGTGAGAGCTTTCAGGGAAGGGACTGAAAAACACATTTGAATTTACATTTTTAGATTACCTCACTAGGTGCTGCAGTGTGGATAGAAAAAGTCTGATGTTGTTGAGAACACATTTCTCTTTCTCCAGGTTAGATTTTCACACCAGGTCTAAATATAAAATATAAATATATTTGTCAAAATGAAAGGCTTCAATTAACAAAGACTTGCAGGGTAATTTTCAGTGTGGTGTCACATGTGTTGAACTCCCTGTTCTTCACTGCCTGCTCTGTCGCTGTGAAGTTGTGAAATAGAAACACAGTGGACGCTCCGTCAGGGATTTCCCACGTTTGTCTCATTTTTCTGCTGCTGTTGAAACTTCGACCAAACTGCTGACGCTGTCCTTTAACAAGAACCTCACATTCTCTACAATGACCAGGAGCTCAGGGAGCTAACGGCTGCTAACTTGCTCTCTGTTCCACAGTTGGTTTGTCAGATTGTTTTTGTTTAAGTAGTTGTGGTGATGTAATAGATAAATCAGTTCCTGAAACTGTTGCAAAGGAAGAAAAACAGAAAAGTTGTCGTCACCTTTGTGAAATTAAAATAACACACACACTTGATTTTGTTTCTTTAAGGCGAAGTCTTAATTATAGCCCCGCCCTACCTGGCCTGTAGGTGGTGCTGAGTACATATTTAAAGCCATATCTCATGACTCACACACTCTGAAGAATTGTTCTAGATCAGTCCTGTAAACTGGGTCAGAACTTTTTCACTAAGAAAAGAATGGAAAATTATTAAAGACATTTAGCACTTAGCATGTTAGCAATGTTTTCACACCAAGCTAGTTTGTAACAAGTTAGCCACTTACAAACAATGCTAGTGCGTAGCCTGTTAGCTTAGCACTGACCATCAGTGTGGATGACATCATCAATCTCCTCATTCCTTTCTCTCCTCTTCCTCCATCTTACAGAAGGAGTTTGCTCCTCCTCCTCCTCTTCTCTTCAGGAAGCTCAGTAACCCTGACCTTTCACCTGCAGCCACGTCGGCCACCAAATCCAAACTTCACCGACAGCTCAGTCAGGACGAGAGCCGGGCCAGACGCAGCAGCATGGCCATGACAGGTGACACACACACACTTCCACGTCTTTCTCGTGTCTTTGGGGTTAGAGTTTAGTGACAGCTGCACTGCAGATGATTTACAGAGCCAGTTATTGAGGGTGGGGGCTCCTCCTGTCTGATTGGCCGTGGACACGATGACTCACCAAACACATCTTAAGGATTGTCAAGTTCAGCTGTGCAGCTGTGAAGGCCGTTTGGCTGGAACTGAACCCGGTCTCCTCTCCCTCTGCAGGTAAACAGCTGCTGCCTCTGTCCAGCAGTCTGCACGCCGGGGTGAGTCAGCTGACTTGGCAGGGGGGTGCTGGAGCCACCGCAGGGCCCGGAGCTGTGGGCGGAGCTGCTGCTGCTGCAGGAGAAGCCAACAACCTGGTCCGAATGAGGAGCCAGACCCTGGGCCAGTCTGCACCGTCTCTCACCGGACTGGTCAGTTCACCAACCCACTAACTGTCACACCACAGTTCACTGAACCAGTTCACTGAATAACCCCCCCCCCCCCACACACACACACACATTAGTCAACTCAGTTTGATCCAAAACACCATATTTGTCCGCTGGCCATAATAAGATGCTAATAATTGCTAATGCTGTATGAATTAATTAGAGGCTTTTTGTCAGTGAGCACTGACACAAAACAGGTGAAAAATAGTAGAGATAGTAGAGATACAGTAGGTTGATGTTGAAACTCTGCTTTTCCAGTGTGTGTGTATGGAAACCGTCAACAGTCCGTTCTGATTGTTGTCTTACGACTGTGATAACAATCATGAATGGATTGTTCCTGCACCGTGTGATTTTGTTGAAAGTGCTGCGTCACAGAGAGTGAATGAGTCTGAACCTCTGCCAGATGGATGCAGACTGGACCAGAATGAGTCAGGATGTTTTACACCCCCTCTCCACCCCCCACCCACCCACACACACACACACACACAGACACATTACATTTCAAGCCCTTTACTATAAAGTACTACAAACATGTCTAATCCTAATCCTGATTTTGTTTATAATCTGATCCTAATATGTCCACACAAGGACAAAGACACACGCCCTTGTGACAGCGGTGAAGATGCTGCTGCAGTGACACTGCAGGGCTGTGATGGAGCTCTACACTGACTCCTGCTGGTATTATAGGGAATTTAATGACGATAGAACAGAACAGACCGTTTTGTTTAAGCAGCGCTCTCTGAAATGACTTTAAATCATCTAAATGACATGTTAACTAAGATTTTAATGAATAAATGCTAAGGTACTGTTTAAAAATAAATCCATACAGAAATATTTCCACTTCACATTAAATTTCCTTCCTTTTGAACTTGTTTAATCTGGATGTAACAGCTTAAAGTTACCAACAGATGGCAGCGTTGTTGCATGTAAAGACCTCGCGTTGTCTGTTGGAGAAACTCCAGTTTCTTTTGTTCGTAAAATGTCGTTGATTTATTTCAGTTTCATGAAATCATAGGAGAGATAAAAACCACCCACGGGCAGGGTTTAGTTTTTTTCTTTTAAAATGTGTTTATTTAAATATTATGGGGTTGTTGAAGTCTGAGTTAATTTTGTTGCTCATAGTTCACAAAAACCAAACAAAAAATTAAACTAAATTTAATTTTTTTTGTAACGTAGATGTAGACCATGTGGGGTCGCAGACTAAAGCCTGAGTTCAAATTCATTCATAATGCAGCTGTAGACCAATGATTAGTCTGGGTTCTGCTCTACCTGTTCTAGATCTATCTGTTTAGATTTAGATTTATTCAGTGTCTGGGAATTTAAAAGCCTGGTGGTCTCACTCTGGGTGTTAATGGACTGACAACGTCCTGCCCCTGGGGCTGTGAGTGAAAGTGTGTGCGCCTGTGTGTCGGGGGAAACATTTGTGGACGTCCAGATGGTGTTTGTCTCTTGACTAATGGATGATGGCCTGTTCACTCCTGCTCCACTACACCTCTGTGTGTGTGTGTGTGTCTGTGTGTGTGTGTCTAACCACCACCTAGCGCCTGGTAACTCCAAATGTACCAGGTGGCATGTGAGTGTTTTTTTGTGTTTGCAGTAGCATTACCCAAAGTGCTTTGCACCTGGATCGTCTAATATCTTCTTCTTCTTCTTTTTCTTTCGGCTTTGTCCCTTTTTCAGGGGTTGCCACAGCAAATCATTGATTTCCATCTTCATTGATTTTAGACGACCTGGATCGTCTAATATCAGTGTTTGAAAAGAAAAGAAAAAAAATCAGAGATAAATTAGTTTCCACAGTGAGAAGTAAAAACCCTGCATAGTCAGACTAGGTTTGGTGCTAACAGCTAACAGCAGTCAATATTTATTTGTAAAAAAAAAGAAAGAATTGAAGGAGAACAAGGGAAACAACATAAAAAGAACAAGGCTTCTATGTGTTTTCGCACCCCCTACAGGCTATGGGGGGGGAGTACAAGCAGCATTTCTTTGCTTCTACAGACGTAGACGTCAGTCCTGGTCCACAGTGACCTCATCCTCAGATCTGAAGGAGAACAGCCTGTCACAGCCACCACTCAAATATACATGAGAACATGATGAATAATTCCTGCTCCTCCACCTTCTCTGATGGAGACGATGAAGAAGGCACTAAGTTCTGACGTCAGCAGACAGAGCTACACCTACGGGGTTCGACCTTGACGACCTCTGAATTGGCTTTAATATTGGTTGATGTGTTTGTTGTGCCTTTTGTTGCACTTTGATGATTGGTCCGTGAGAGTGTGGTCCAGACTCTTGAGTCCTGGACCTCGGTTTCAGACAGACTTTCCTGTCTACTGTTGTATTCTGTATTTATTTGTGTTTTTGTCTGTGGACCACCACGGTCGGTGAAGGTACCAGACAGACCTGAGACAGGAGTGTGTTCAGATCAGCTGCTGTGACTGCAGTGTCCTGGTCTGAACTCAGAGGCTGCAGTGGCTCAGGGAGGAGAGCAGCAGCAGTAACAGACTCTTCACTAATGAACAGCTTCATGTCAGTGTATCTCCTCAGGGCGGAACGTCACACAGGTGTTAGTCTGGGTTTTTTATTTAATCTCTAGATCTTTGGACTCTTTTCCTGAACAGAACTTCATTCAACTTGGCCCAAAATTCCAGACCAATGAATGTGATTTGATCAGATTACCAAGTCTCTTCATCATCATCATCATCTTCTTCTTCTTCTTCATCTTCTACATTTCAGATTACCTTTAGTAAAATTTTTTGGCTGAAGTCTCAACAGAATATCAGTACCAAGACAAATCAGTCATCAGTACTTCTACTTCAAATACTCGTATTCGTACTTATATTCTGATTCTTAATGTGAGTAAACATTTCACCTCAATGTCAGTGAAGCCAGTGTTGTGGTCCAACAGGAGAGAAGGGGAGAGAGGGAGGGAAGGAGGGAGGAAGGTTTGTGTTCTGACTTGTCTCACTGTCAAATGTGAAGGGCGGGGGGGGCAGCAGTAGTGTTCCACCTTTGATGTTTTCCCATCTCTCTTCCCTCCATCTCACACCTCAGTAGACCAGAGGTCCAACAAATTCAGCCAAGCGTCTCGTGATGAGATGGAAAACATTCTGCAGCAGCAGCGGGGAAGGAGCAGCGCTTTGACGGACAGAATAAATAAACCAGCCAGAGGGTGGGTGGAGGGGGGGCCACCTGAGTGGGTTTCTGTTAAACTCTGTTTTAGTTCAATACAAGTGATGACAGTTTGACTGACCACCATAGTAACCATCATACTGAATGAGAGACGTTAGCATTTATGTAGTTGTAGCTAACTGGAGCTACAACATGTTTTCACCTGCTCTGACACATGGAGGTGATTGATGTGTCATCAGCAGCTCAATGTTGTTCAGAATGATTTTCTCTTCTCCGACTGGAGAACATGGAACATTGATAAACGTCTGGTGTCAATATGGGAAACCTGAACAGTGGGTGTTAGTAGATTAGTCAGTTAGTAGAAGTAGATAGATAGTAGATTACTAGGTAATTATTGTTGCCGTGTACAGACATACACACATACATAAGCATTGTGTAAGCTTATATTTATATACATTATATTTCTGTCTTATATTCTAAGTATATGTTTACGTATACTTAGAATAAGAAAATAGAAATATAATGGTATATTGAATTATAATACTAAAGTAAATCTAGGTTGTGGTTATTGCACGTACTCCCTTATCCACCACTCATTTGTTCACCCCTCTCTCCTCCCCCCAGTAAAACAGTTTAATTGCCCGGTGGATAAAGGAGTCTGGGTCAGTGTCTTCTGTTTGGTTCTCACACCCACAGCAATATTACATGTTGTGTGTGTGATGTTGGAGCTAATAAAAACAGTGTGAGTGGAGATAAAACCGTGGCTCTGGTCTGTTTGATGGCCTCAGGCTTCGTCTGCTTTGTTCTTTGTTGAGCATCACAGATAATAAAAAATATACATCACAGACACACACACACACACACAGAGAGAGAGAGGGAGAGGGAGCCTGTGATATTGCTGTGGTGTTGGTGCAGCTTCAGCTGATGTTGATCCTCAGTCAGAGTTTCACTGTGGTGTCTTCTGTTGACAGAATCATCAGAGAATTTTTAGTTTCCCATTCAAAGACTTCAACTGATGTGGGAGAGAGAGAGAGAGAGAGAAGTACATCTGTGTAGTCTGGTGCAAAATTTTGTTTTTTCATATAAGCTGGTTTCATTTCAACACACACAGAAAAACGGCCGTTAATTAGCAGAGTGAGTGATGGCCTCTCTGATGGAGCAGGTCAGAGCTGGTTTGTGTTGCGGTGATGTATGGGTTCTGGTCTGAACCGACCCACCAGCACCCTCTGGTCCAGAACCTAATGCGCAGCATCAATCAGACTAACAGGGTCACAGCCCGTGTCCCACACTGTCCACCGTGTGTCTCTGACTGTTTACTAGTGTCCTTCACTTAATCCCTGACTTTCACGTGCACTTCACCACTCAAGGGCAGATGGGTCCAACATGTAAGGGAGGGGGCAATTATATCCATTGTGATCATTAGTCATATCATTAATTAATACAACGAGGCGCTGCTTTTGAATTAATTGTGTTTTTGTCCTGTTAAAGTCGAGGGGTTTGTCTGGTTTAGATTCTAAGAAACTTTTGGTAAAAAAAAACAAAAAAACCTGCAGTCAGTGCTGCCCACAGAGGTCCAGGCCCTTCGACCTCGGCTCAGGTCCCAGTGTGACCACAGTTTAGGGCAGTATTCAGTAGTTTCCAGAGGTCTAACTGCTGACCTGGTCCTGGTTCCCAGCCACAGACCCAGGTCTGGTCGGATTCAGCAGATATGTGATCTGTATTGACAACACCGGGGTTTGAACCAAGATCTAATTACTGTTTCTGTCCCCCCCCCCGTCCACTGCCCCCACCCTTCTCGTTCAGAAGGTTTTATGTTGCTGTCCATCCATCACTCTGCTAACGTATTGATCTGTGATCAT